TGCAATTGATTAAACTCAATCTGAAAAACAAAAATCAAACACAAAATCTGCAAATGAATTGTCTTGACAAATAAAAACATGAAAGGGGCTCTGCCGATAATGCAAGCGTAGAAGAAGAAATGTGCTGTTTACCTGTGCAAAGAAAGAAACAACGAAAGAAAAATGTTTGAGGACTTCAGTGTTGAGGAAGAGCATGAGTTCTTTGCCGAGCTGAATCCTTTAAAGCGGCCAAACTCTTGAACAGAACCCGACCTCCAGAAGATGATCAGAAATGGAGTACAGGGTGTTCACGGCCGACTCCGCGGCAGCTCAGAAGGTCATTAAACATCCGACATGATGACGATGCTTCTGCAGAGAGCCTGAAGGATCCTAGAAGATGAGCCTGACCCAGATCCGACCGGTTCAGCCAGCTGCTGCTTGACAGATTTAGAAGCTGTTTGTTTCCTCAGGCTAAAAAAAAACAACTTCTTGATTCTTTTTACAACCTTTGGTGTTGATGTTTATTTTAACAAGGTAAAAAAAATCACTTTGTGGTTTCTCTGGAATGTCAGGAGACACTGAATAAAAAGAAAGGAATCGAAGAGGAAGAAGTTTCTTAAAAGGAATGGGGGGGCGGATTTCATAGTGAATAACTTTCTATTTACTCTACTTTCTATTTTCTAACATTAGACACAATGTCAACGGCTAACTAAGTCAATACAGTCGGCCCGAGATAGCCATGGGTACTTGTATAATGCCACAAACAAGTACCTGGGACTCTCATATATATATTATCGTGGCATTTAAAAAAGTTAAAATACAAAGTGAAAAAAAAAAATATGATTATAAAAATAATTTTGTCAGAAATATTGTATCGCAATATATTTGTGCGGAACTACTTCAGGTTGATTGTAAACCAACGACTCCGGAGTCGCATGCGGCTCCTTAGCGTCCCCCTTGTGGCTCCTTTGAGTTCTTTCAAAAATGTATGAAAATCAAATTTTTTTTTTGTTTGTTTGTTTAAATATGGTGCGCAGGAAGTCAAACAAAAATGTATTATGTTTTCCAATGCTGTAAACATTTGTATAAGAAATAAATGTAAACAATAATAGCCATAGAAATCAGTGGTCATAACTTGTAACCAGGGTGTCGCGATACCAGGCAAACAAAGCTGCAGGTGTGTCTCGGACCATGGAACCCAAAGGGAAAAAAGGAAGATGGCTGATGAGAAAAGAGAATTCAAAGATTGAAGGATTGCCTGCATTTTTGCTTTGTATTGAGAGGCATTTCCAGGGAAGGCTAAATATGCAGCGACCACCAAACTGGGAGTGAGAGAACAAGTGCGAAAGCAGAACTTCTAGATAAATTAGAGGAGAGCAAAGATAGATTTTAGAAGTGGATTGCATCTCCAAACTCCACTGCTGTTTGGTTGCAAGGATAGAAAACCGTTCACAGAACGAACAGGTAGTGCTCTGATGCAGGGATGGGAACCTTCTTCCATTTTTCCACCTAATCTTCAAAATAACAATAACACCAAGGAACGCTGATGAAGGAGTATGTTGGATTTCAGGGTTAGAGAGCTCTGCTCTGATGGATGTCAGTTCCTGCTTGGTTCCTCATGACTCAATCAGCTCCTCCCAACAGAAACACGTCCACCATAGAAAGATTCCTTTATCCTGTTTCTATAATATCATCAATGCAACGAAACCTAAAACGCGCAGTAAATTCTACGCGGTGAGAGCGTTCACTGCTCCTCCCTTACCTCATGCTACTATTTGACATTTGCTCCAGAATAAACATTGAATCATAAATGATTATTATATATTTAAGCCCACATAGTCCTTTTCTATAGTAGGATAATATACTTAGAGCCGTACGAGGCTCCAAGTGTATTATATAAGACTTCTACATTTTTGCCGCTTCAGACAGATTTATTTTTTGTTTTTTTGGTCAAATGTGGCTCTATGAGCAGTTTGTGTTACCGATCCCTGGTAAAGCCGTATATTCGGGATAGTGGAGATAGCCATGGGTACGTGTTTAATGCCACTTTGCACTTTCGGTACTTCAGTATTATTGTGCTCCATTAACATAATCCTTTTGTTGTTATGGATTTGTATAATATGTTATGTTTCCAAGTTTGAAGACGTTTCACTTCCCATCTAGGAAGCTTTTTCAGTTCAAAATGTCAGGAATAGCGTTGAGATTCAGGCTTTATGACAATTTGAATTGAAAAAGGAAACATCTTCAAACTTGGAAAACAAAGTCCAGGATTGTTTTAAATTTTCTTTTTTTTTTGGGAATTCAGAAAAACTGCTTCAGAGGCATAACCAGTTAGAGGGAATGGCTGCTGGGGTTACTTCCCAGTGCTACACTGGATCGAAATAAAGTAATAATAGTTAAAGCTTTTATGAAACTTAAGATTGAAGCTCCAGTTTCCTTGCACACATCTTAAAAAAAAATAAAATGTGTAGCAAAGGATGTAGGGGACTGATTCAGGCCCCTCCTCTACCCTGGACAACGGGCCCAGCTAAACTTAGTCTGTCAGGGATCCACTTGGTTCTGATCAATTCAATTCAGTTCAGTTTATTTATAAAGTGCCAATTCACAACACATGTAATCTAAAGGCCTTTAATGT